ATCATGAAATTGTCGGATATCACCAGAAAACGCGCGATTTGTGCAGTTTTGAATAAAACCTAGTTAGCGATTATGAACAATGGTTATTAACATAACACCTGACCCCCTCTGCACTTTTTGTTTCGCATTTTAAGGTAAGAAATCAACATTTGAAACCGACAGGGTGTCGATTTACTAGGTGCCATGTTTCACAACTTGTTTATTTATATACGTATAGCGGATGATTTTTTTTTTGAAAATTAGTATTTATTGATTTTCAGCCCCCAAGTGACTGTGCTCCTGGCCCACAACACTGTCACTTGAGAACACACAAGAAATACAAGTTGTGAGTATAGACTGTGGCGGTGAACCAGTCAGGCAATCAGAAAAGCAAATTATGCGATGCTTTATGCACTCCGGAAGAGGTCAGAGAGGTGTAACTGTTTCATTGGGATTTCATGGTCTCTCTATTAGGGCTCATACCACTAATTGAATTTCCATAGACGACAATGTTAACATATGACGAGATTGCTATATGAAAATGACGAAGAAAGTTGAAAATATGGCTCAAAAATGGGAAATCAACATGCCAGTAATCAACCATATGAAAAAAACTAACATGTTGGCCAGCTCAAACTCTTGCAAATCTCAGGTAAACAAGACACACCTACTGTATTTGGATTGCACCAAGAGAAATCACTGGAAAAACACCAAGATTAGAACATCCATTAACACACAGAATAAACCCACAGGTACACAGCCGCTAAGTAGTAAACAAAAGACCACATGTTGGTCTCACCTCTGACCCAGGTGATTACGCCCTCAAACAGGGAGCACCTGAGAAAAATAATATTTAAAAAATTTCATTGGTTCTTGCTGGGCATTTACGAGCAGCCATTGGTTAATTAGTGGCATGAGACCTTATTCACATAGGAATGTCTTATCCTCGGGGGCGGAGCTACGTCACAGACGTTCCACGTTGCTAAGACGCGCACCACTGTACCATGCATTTCTATGGGCTCTGTGCGCTCTGCTATGAAACGCCGGTCGAGCCGGTGAAAATTCGAGAAAACAAAACAAACTCAACTTTAAAGTAATCGCGAACAACCAAATTTATATATGTTTTTAATACACACGTAGGGCTAATTTTGTTGCACTGTTCAGAGGAGTCTCAACAATCATCTCAAAGTACCGTTTTATGCGAGTTTTGGGTCTTTGTTTTCACCGCCGCGGGTTGCCAGGCGGTGAAAATGCCCGGATGTCCGCCCCCGAGGATAACTGACCCAGTGTGTGAAATAATGCTTACTTACTAGTGTTGCACTCTGAATGTATCTTACAATGTGAATTAGTTCCCCAGTCCAATCAATATACTCTGGCCATGTTTTCGGACGGGCGCAGTTGCGGACACTGACCCAAGCATATCCAATATGACCGCTCAATACGCCAATCTCTCCAACATTCATGAATATCTCCATCGACGCTGTCACCCATGACTGCATGCCCACGAGGCTTTGATTTGGTTGTTTGTACTCACCAGAGATGAGAATTTTCTTCTGTTCGTTTTTATTTTTGCCAAAATAATTTCACAGGAAAATTGTTGACATCATGATACAAGTACGGCAACCGAGGAGGGTCACGACTAAACCTTTTCATTTACCATACAATTATTTGTTTTTGCATTTAAAATTTGA